TAGCTTTTATTGCCCTTTAATGAGTTTTTGGGTTAACCTGAGTCAAACAACAGCAATTTATTCTTATATAAATAAACGGACATTTACATTTATCATGACGAAAATCAGCTGATACAATTTGCGTAATAGTGTAATTCTCCGAAATTTCGCATCATCCGATGTTAGAAAGTTGACGTGAAGTTTTGAGATGCGTTTCCAGCGAATCACTAAGTGATGGAAAGAACAAATACAGACACCACATATAACTAACTATGATTCATCTGGCTGTACAATCAACAGGTTGAAATCTTATCGATAAGCGGAAAAAGACTATGAAAACTGAAATTTCCTACTAGTTAGATATGATGACAATTATCACTCCAGTGATTTAAGAGGTCTGAATATTTTCAGGTCGCATTTTACGTAGAGTCGAATGTGAAAACTGCAAAACTAAATTGAAAAAAAACAATATAACGAGGGAGGAGTTTTTCCGATTATCATCATCCTTCATTCTGTGATTTATAGAAGCAAAGAAGGTAGCAGAAAAACAAGAATGGTTTTCATTTATTTTTACTTTACTGCAAAAAAACTTGTAGTAAACAAATATATGCACACAAGGACAACTGAAATCTATTGAATCACAGTTTAACAGACATTACAATAGAAAGTAGATCAAAATGATTGCAAAGTAAGAAGAGTGGAGGAAGAATGAGTATAAGGAGAAGTGAACACCTGTATGCACGTGTCGTCAATATAAACAATACGAATGAAGCAAAAAGGAAACGAATAAATGGACAGAACGAAATTTCATAGGAAACAAGAGTACAATCACAAACACACGATCCACAAATATCGGTGAAATGATAGTGCACAAATTAACATTTACACAGTGTGACAGACATGATAGACGATTCAAATATATATGTAAATACACATAGTACTTATAAAAGATAACAGTAGCACGAACACAAAGTTACAAAAGTGCAGAAATTGAAAAACATCTTTAGAATGATTCAGGAAGAGGAAAAAGTTAGACTAACAACACATTATTTATTAAACTCTTAAAAAAAGAGGAAATTCATGAAAAATTGAAAATACGAATAAATACAAATGGAGTGTGATTTTCAGTCAACAAAACATTTCATTATATATTACTGATAAGATAAACAAAAGTCAACAAAACCTACCCACTATCTATAATCAAGAAAAGTGGTTAATTTCAAATTGGTTTCATACTTTGTTTACATCAGTCTCGGCTCTTATTACCCGATCGATGTATTCAACATGCAAACTGCATTAGAATAGTGTGCATCTAGAAACACAAATTGTTCCAATGTTTAGCTGTATCATGCATGCATTGCTGTTATATCTTAGTTTGTGTTTCTTCAGCTCTATCATATCTTCCTTTATTCTATTCGAAAAGTAGCGAACGTCCAGGTCGACAGCGATTAAGAGAACCTAATACATACCGAACACCTCATTCAATGAGGATTCACATTCTTATCAGCCAACACCTTTTTTTTCGTTTCGTATCTTGTGACTACTGACTGAAACTTCGTCACTCGACAAATGCAAGATGCTCAAGTAGTTCTTTCAACATTCCATCCATGATCAAATTCTTCTAATGTTCCAATGTCCTCTAACTCCATTAACCACGTCTCATATTAGAATCATAACTGACCACTTTCATCCCCATCTGAACTTTAACTATGTGATAATTGTATGGTTTGTTATTTCTCTCATAGTAGATCAGTTAACAAAGTGGTCTCAGTTGAAATAGTTTTTAGTGTGGAAATTTCAAAAGAAATAGTAAACAGTTTGCGGTAGTTTGTGGTCACGCGGGTGCAAAAAATCCATTACGAGATAAGCATATTACATGACGGATAGTTTAGCTTGTGTGTTGAAGTGTTGTTTGAATAGTCGTAAATCAGTGTGTAAGTTGTCATTTTATACACAAAGAAGAGTATCGAACGAATTTCACTGAGATGAAAAGCAACTTCAAACAAATTCAGCATTTGACCCACATAAATCAAATTGATATCGTGAATTTGTTTCCTTCAATCTATTGGATATCTTCATAGAAGTTAGAGTGTATCAATCTACCCTAAGGTTAACCAGTACTTTGACGCTCTACAATAACTTCGTTAAATCATGATACTAGATTAATAAATTGCGAAATAAAAATTCTCTGTTTAACTTGATATCTTAGTCTTGGGACGAACGAATTGCATGATAGTCTTAACGAAGCCAAAATGTGAAGTTTAATGCAGTGTAAACAACAATATCGGCATTCATGTAGGCCGATGTAAGATAAGAGCGTAAAATCATCTGAACAGCCAATCACAATGTCTTTGAACAAATCAGAAAAGTAGAAAATAGACGTTCAGTCAGACAGTGAACAATGTTATTTGTATCTGTGGAATACGCTCAACTGACTCTTATTTGGCTCGCATAATCTCACAACGCATAATAGTAAGAGGGACTTAGCTGACCACGATAATTAAGTGTTTGCAATTATGCGTAAACAATCACGTTGATCGATGATGTATAAGAAGATGGATCGATTGATAGAATAATGCCGTTGTATGAAATAAAGTACAAATAAACAATGACTGCTGGTACAGATAAATACAAAGTGAAGGTCATTCTGATCGAGATCAGATATTATCACCTGATATCTGTAAATAGATCGATTGATAGAATAAATTGTCTATCATAAAACGATTGATTGATAGAATAATTGTGTAGCACGAAATGAAGAAGTTAGATTAATATAGACTAGTAGAAATGAATTCAAATTGTAGTTAGTTCATTCTAATTACGAAGCAATATCAGTTGTAACAAACAGTATTGCAAGTCCAAAAGCGATTAGCAAGTTTTGGGTAAGTCTAGGTTCGAGTTTTCTCAATGATGGATGATCTGTGGGTTCACTACTTTTTGCTGAACTTAAATTTCTACTGCTCAATACTATAGTACTTATACACTGAGTCAAACTCTAGTCACATTTTAGACGTTGCATGACCATCATGTCAGTCTGTGACAGAAACAGTTTCCGAAAAAAAACTTCACGTAAATATTTTATTTTCTAAATAGTAAATAGTGTAAATATAGCTAGCTAACAAAGACTGATTCGAATTCAGTCAATATTACCAACAATGTGATGAATTAAATTCTTTTTAGTGATATTGACAACTTCAGTTAAATAGTAGTATCGTTGAATATTTAACATGATTACTGTTACTTCAAAAACTAAGCGCTTTATGAGTTTCAAATAGTTTTTGGAACTGTTTACAATGCTACTCACTTATCACATTTATTATTTCTGTATATCGGATCGTTCAGGTTATTCAATGATCAGTGATTATCATTACTATCATTTTAAACAAACTAAACAAAATAATATTTTTTTTATTGAATAACAAATATTTTCCTATTATGTACTATTCATTGCTTTTGAGTTATATTGTGTAATTTAATGCGAAAATCTCAGTCATATAGGAAGGAACTGCGTAGAAATAGAAAATAGTTCATTATAAATGTCATTTGTTGTGACACTGAACAATATAAACACACATTCAATAGAAAATATTGATTGATTTAACAATGTAGATAAGTTGAAAATTTAGTGCAAATTTTCTGTTTTCCCATCATCGTCATCATCATCATCATCATCATCATCATGACAAATATCAACTTCTTTTAAAAGCATACCGACATTCATAACTTTTCGATGATCATCGTGTTCTGTTTCAAATTGATCAAATTTATCATTGCACCACTGAACTTTGATCTATTGATTCTGGTAATTATGCATTGGTTACGGAACTCAAAGGATTTTATTTCAATTTCTTCTAGCATGATTGTTGTTTTTCATTGTTGACGAGCTACATCATAGAAGGATACATCTTTTCACTACTCCCCAAGTTCTCGATGGTACTCTAACGGAATTTATCAATCTATAACGAATGAAACCTATGAGGAAATATTTTCTTTATTTTCCTACGTTGTTACTTTATTCACCATAGTAAAATGAAAGGATTAACTTCAAGTCTAATAATAAACATTGAATTTTATAGGAAATTTATTTACACTTTAAAATAATGCGAAAAATCAATAGTTGACTTTATTCATCAATTATATTTTTGTTATCATTATTATTGTATATACACCATTGATGTGAGAATATGATTATTATTTATTACTAATACTTCGTTATTTATTATGAATGACAAACACAATGAACTACTCTCTTCTATACAAGGAATTATCAATAAACAAATAATACTTTTTATTCAGCTTAAAATATGATGTCCGAATCTACGAAAGAGTATTTATCTGCAAAACTTCATGAAAACTGGTTAAAACGTATTAATTCTGGTGAAATGACATGGACTATAGAACAACAAGATAATTCATTGACAAATTTAGATTGGTTACTAGTAAGTATGATTATGCATAAATGTTTATTTTTTAATGTTTTAAGTTAATAATTATAGTTAAATAAAAAACAGAAAGAATAATATTTGCAGAACAGAATGAATTCATTATATTTTAAGGCTTCTCATCAGCTGTAAACGGACTAAATTTTTTATTTTGGTAATATTATTGTTTTAATTGGAGCTGTATATATACATATACATATATATATAAAACCATGAAGAGACAATGTTTGTTAAAGGACAATTCATCAAATGAGAACTGGATGAAGTTGTGAACGATAATAAAAAATAGACAGTGAATAGAATAGAATTGTTACCAAATGACTGATAATCAAGAATCACCTATTTAACATAACATTAAAGTTAACATCTTAAGTGAATGTCTCAATAGGATATTTTTACTTAAAATTGTACACCATAATGAAGATAGAATGTGAGACAAGCGTAAAAATAATAAAACTATCATACTATGGAAATAATGAGTTTATCACACTTTCTTTTCTGTGTACAATGATCAAGTCGAAAGCGCTTGTTGGAAATGACCTCTACAAAATGAGGCAAAAGTGATTTACGTTGCCTGTTTAGTATTTTGGATACTTTTAAGGCATCCATATTATGTCCGCTATGCATTTTTAATGTTTAGCGATCACACTTTTGAAAACTGTACTTCCTCTTGGACATCACTTACGGGCAATATATTCCGAAAACCTTGTAGATGCCTTTCTTTTAGTCCTTCCTACGTAGTTTAACAAGTGCCTGTTGATTCGTTAATGCATTTTACAGGTGACCTGAGAATTGTATTGATCTACTTTTGAGTGATTTGAAGAACATTCGATATGCTATGCACCTAAAATAAGCTCCAGAGAAGCTTATCTTTAACGCCGCTTTGATCTTTTCATTCATTGATAATGAATTCCTTTATTATTCTGAATAAAACTATTTTTCTTGCTTTATTTAAAGTTATCAAGGGATTAGGTTGTATGGAATTAATATTTAGAACTGAATACATTACGATGTTCATACTTACTCTTGAGTAAATATTTATTTAATATCTCAGTCATACCGTATAGCATTCATGTCTTGTAAAGAAGTTATAATATTTAAGTACTTGAACACACTATGCATTGCTCGAACGAGCTCCAAATATTGCTAAAGTTACTGTACAACAATGTTCAGTTTTTCAATATTTGAAGATAATAATGATAATAATAATAACACAAATAATCATGAGTCACTAATATTGGAAATCTGATGTTACAACTTACTTACTTACTTACACCTGTTACCCCCAATGGAGCATAGGCCGCTCACCAGTTTTCTCCAACCAACTCTGTCCTGGGCTTCCCTCTCCAGTTTTGTCCAATGTTTGTTCATTCCTCCCATATCTTCCTCTATTTCTCGGCGTAATGTGTTCCTTGGCCTTCCTCTTTTCCTTTTGCCTTGAGGGTTCCATGTAAGGGCTTGTCTAGTGACGCAGTTAGGTGCTTTTCGTAGTGTGTGTCCTATCCACTCCCACCGCTTCTTCCTGATTTCCTCCTCCACTGGCATCTGGTTTGTTCTCTCCCACAGTAGGTTGTTGCTGATGGTGTCTGGCCAACGAATACGAAGTATTTTGAGTGGTCAACTGTTAATAAACACTTGTATCTTCTGAATGATGGCTTCGGTAGTTCTCCAAATTTCCGATTCATACAGTAGAACTGTCTTGACATTTGTATTGAAAATCCTTATTTTGGTTTTGGTTGAAAGTTGTTTGGAGTCCCAGATATTTTTCAACTGTAGAAATGCAGCCCTTGCTTTGCCAATCCGCGCCCTCACATCTGCATCCGATCCACCTTTCTCGTCGATGATGCTGCCCAGATATGTAAAGGTGTTAACGTCCTCCAAGGCATCTCTGTCAAGAGTGATTTGGTTGGCGCATGTTGTGTTGCAACGGAGAATTTTGCTTTTTCCTTTATGTATGTTGAGACCTACTGCTGCAGAGGCTGCTGCTACACTGGTCGTCTTCTCTTGCATGTGTTGTTGCGTGTGCGATAGAAGAGCCAAGTCATCTGCGAAATCCAGATCGTCCAGCTGCGTCCTAACTGTCCACTGAATACCGTGCTTCCATTCAGATGTCGACGTCTTCATAATCCAGTCGATGATCAGGAGAAAGAGAAAGGGTGAGAGTAAGCAACCTTTCCTGACACCGGTCTTCACCTCGAAAGAGTCTGTTAGCTGTCCTTCGTGCACGATTTTGCAGTTGAACCCATCATAAGAATTCCGTATGATATTGACTATTTTCTCAGGCACACCATAGTGTCGGAGAAGCCTCCACAGTGTTTTCCTGTCCACGCTATCAAATGCTTTCTCGTAATCGATGAAGTTGATATAGAGTGGTGAGTTCCATTCTATTGATTGTTCCACAATGATCCGTAATGTAGCAATTTGGTCAGTACACGATCGATGCTTACGAAATCCAGCCTGTTGATCTCGAATTTGGGCGTCTACGAAGTCCTTCATTCTGTTTAACAATACCATGGTGAAGACCGCCTGGTATTGAAAGAAGAGTGTCAGGTATCCTTCTGCCCAATTTGACGGTACGCCGTCATTGCTAGATCTTCCACATATTTTCGTTTATCAGCTCTGATGCTCTTCTTCACTTCCCTGTTTGCTTCTGTGTGTGCAGCTTGTGCCTTAACTTTCTCTACCCTTGTTCGGCTGACATTGATTTCTGCCTTCTTGTTCCTCCTTTCTTCGCTTTTTGCAAGAGTATCAACAGAGATCCATTCCTTGTGATGGTACCTCTTGTGACCCAGAACTTCGTGACATGTTGAAGTGATTGCCTCCTTGATCCCTTTCCAATTGTTCTCCAATGTTGCCTCCTCTCCATTGAGTATATCGTGCAAGGCCTGGAACCTATTGGTGAGGGCTATCTTGAATTCGTTGTGTTTTACGGTATCCCGAGGAAAGGCTGTCTTGAACTTGTGTGATGTTGTCTGCCCCGTTGTCCAGTGCTTCTTTAGTTTCAGAATCATTTTGGCGATCAGCAAGTGGTGATCTGAGGCTATATCAGCTCCTCTCTTGGTTCTCACATCCTCCATGGTCCTTCTGAACGTTTTGTTGATACAGATATGGTCAATTTGGTTTTGAGTAGTGTGGTCCGTTTCCTTTCTCCCAGTCCGTGTTGTCCCATGATGTCTTCATATCCAGTGTTGTCCATTCCAACCTTGGCATTCAGGTCTCCCATAAGAATCGTCAAATCCTTCAGTGAACATTTCTCGACGATTGACTGCTGCCTTTCGTAGAATTGGTCTTTAACGTCATCATTGTAGTCATTGGTAGGTGCATAACATTGGATGACGTTCATTGTAATGTCCTCTTTCTTTGTTTTGAAGGATGCTTTGATGATCCTGGGTCCATGAGACTCCCATCCTATCAGTGCCTTTTGTGCTTGTTTGGACAGCATCAGTGCAACTCCTTGTGTATGTGAAGCATTTTCCTCTTCATGATCAGAGTATAACAGCAGTTCCCCTGACGCCAGTCTCAGCTGTCCTACCTGTGTCCAATTCGTTTCACTGATGCCGAGCACCTCGAGGTTGTATCTTTTCATTTCTGCCGCAACTTGAAATGGTCTTCCAGTCTCCCACAATGTACGAACGTTCCATGTACCTAAACGAATGGTTGCTCTGGTTTTCAGAAGAGGCATCGGCCCCGTGACTTCCGAGGGAACTCGGCATTCATCGCACGACGTCATAATTCTTCCTCCAACTCCCAGGGCAGAGTTAAAATGGTTTGAATTATTTTTTCTGGTTAGCGTTTTTTGGCAAATTAGATTTCGACGGAATGGGGTCGCCAACCCCATGTCCAACCCTCCTTCTTTATCCGGGCTTGGGACCGGCAGTAGCCCCGAAGGTTCTACTGGCGGAGTTCTGATGTTACAAAGAATGTATTATTCGTTCTCTGAGCTCAGAGAACGAAACACCACCACAATCATCCACCTGAGCTACAAGTTTTCTCCACCATCTCAAAGGCAATAAGTCTCTGGTCATGAACTCCCTTATCAGCACCATGAACAATCAGATCATCTTGATAAACTTCAACACCTTCAAGATCATTAACCACCTTATTCATAACTTCCTGGAATATGCCTGGAGAACAACTTGGACCAAATGGAAGGAAATTCTATTTGAACAGACCAAAAGGAGTGTTAATTGTCGTCAAAATAGATGAGGATTGATCTAAAGGGATTTGAAGATAAGCATCTTTTAGGTCCACTTTGGAGAACACTTTAGAACCATGAAATCGATTTAGAATATCTTCAGCCTCTACTGTCGTACATGTTTGCTTCAACAAACGGGAGTTCAATGTTAGTCTATAGTCACCACATATTCTAGGAGTCTTGCCATCCGATTTCAGTGGCGTAACAATAGGAGTACCCCATGCTGAAGACTGAACCGGTTCAATTATGCCTTTTGCACACAAATCATTCAATGTCTTATGCACTGCATCTCAAAGACCATAAGGAATTATTCGTCTTTTGAGAAAGACTGGATCACCCTGTACTTGAAGTTTTATAGGCTGAGATTTCATACCTCCACTGCACTTAGCACACGTGGCTATCAAATCTTTAAGTAAAGCATCAGAATTTTCTTTAGAAACTAGGAAAGACAACTCCACTTTAAGCCTTTTCAAATTCCTTAAACCCAGTATTGACAGTCTTGTTTCGCTAACTAAAAATTCACAAGGTATGTATGGGGAATAATCATCTCTTATTAGCAATTCACAACATCCTCGTATGGGCAGTCTGTGTCCAGTAATCCCCAATATTGATACTTCAGTGGGTCGTACCACAACGTTAGGATCTAACGATTTCAAGTTCTTGAATGAAATAATTAGCAATTCACAACATCCTCGTATAGGCAGTCTGTGTCCAGTAATCCCCAATATTGATACTTCAGTGGGTCGTACCACAACGTTAGGATCTAACGATTTCAAGTTCTTGAATGAAATAATGGACTCTATACTGCCTGTGTCCACAATAAAGTCGTGCATGAACCAAGTGATGTATATAATCGCTTTTGAATATGAGCATTACCTTTCGAAATGGTAGACAAAGATAAATGATCATTAGGATCAGCTGAATTATTGGGATCTAAATTACAAGATTTTGTACTACTTGAGACAAAATGAACAGTAGCTTTGCATACTGCTTGAATGTGTCCTATCTTACCACATCTAAAACATTTAGCATTACAAAATGCACATGAATTACGAGAATGAATGAGGTGTTCGGTATGTATTAGGTTCTCTTAATCGCTGTCGACCTTGACATTCGCTACTTTTCGAATAGAATAAAGGAAGATATGATAGAGCTGAAGAAACACAAACTAAGATATAACAGCAATGCATGCATGATACAGCTAAACATTGGAACAATTTGTGTTTCTAGATGCACACTATTCTAATGCAGTTTGCATGTTGAATACATCGATCGGGTGATAAGAGCCGAGACTGATTTAAACAGGGTAAATCCATTTACTCCTTATTCTTCCTTAAAAATTAAGATTCAAAATTATTTTATAATTTTCGATCCGGTGAATTGATTCTTTCTCTCATTGATGTAGATTTATGTATTCTACATATATAATTCATCTAATTTTTTCGTATAAAAATAAATTTCCCGTCAGAATTTCAATCCAACCAATAATACGCTTTGGTCGTCATCATCATCATCATCATCGTCAACAAAAACAATGATAACAACATCAATGACGACGAACTCATCATCAACAACAACAACAACAACAACAACAGCGGCAGCAACATCGATAGCGGCATGCAATCCATCACCACAAAATTCTTACATAATACATTATCATCATCATCACCATCATCATCATTATCCTGATCGTGGTTACATAATACATGAGTTCAATACAACAACTAACAATTACAGACGAAGTGGTTTTTCATTGTTCAATGGGAACACTTTGAAATTTGAATATTATTCAGTATCATCAAATGTACCAAAACTATTTCAAAATAACAATCAACAGTCAATAACCTTAACAGATATGAATTTAGCAGTAAACCCATCAACTACTGCTGACATGATAAATAATGATGATAGTCACGTCAATTGCAATACATTCAATAATAGTGGCAATAATAATAATAACAATAGCAACAGTAGCAGTATTAATGGTAGTAAAAGTAGTAGTAGTAGTAGTAGCAGCAGTAGTAGTAGTAGTAGCAGTAGTAGTAGTAGTAGCAGTAGTAATAGTAGTAGTAGTAATAGTAGTAGTAGTAGTAGTGGTAGTAGTAATAGTAGTAGTAGTAGTAGTAATAGTCATCACAACATTCATTATACGGCATCGATTAATCACAATTCGATGGACAATCGTTTTAACACCGAAGAAAATTATCATAATATAACAGAGAATAGTAAATTATTCATTCATTATGACACATTATCTCTTTATGAAAAAAATAATTATCAGTACAATGTAAATTATAAACCAATATTTAATTCGCATACTTTAATTTACATGGCTATGAATTCATTAAAAAAGAATAAAATCACATTTAGTGATATTTGTGAATGGATTGAAACACATTTTGCTTTTTATCGTTATAAGAAAGAGAAGTTTTGGTGGCAAGTAAGTAAAATCGAAATAAATATTATTATTATTATTATTATTATTATTATTCAAATTTTGGTGAATATTTGCACGGCCTGTTTGTGACTATTTGGTCTATATGTTTTCCTAACATCAAACCCCGACCGAAGCTGCTACCTTGACGTGGTGGTTGGGCTTGCCTATCGTGATGACCCAACCGAGCTATATTGACTGGAACACATGTTCCTGAAGGTTCTACCATGCCAGGAAGGTCGATTGGAGAGCGATGAGACTAAAAGCAGCTACTCACGGTCTGAGGGCGAAGTCGTACTGCTGACTGCAGAGGGGTGTGACAGCAGTAAGGTGTTTCCCTCGGACAACCAGCATCTGCAGCGATGCTCTCTTCTCACAAGGAAGGAAGGGTTAGAAAAGGTCGACCCTAAAAATGTCACCCCTCACCCTACCTCACGGATTTCCGTCTCCTTGGGTAAGGGTGCCCACTAAGGGCTTTCAAGTGCGGAGCTAACACTCAAAAAACTCCTCATAAAAAGGCCGTGCGTGACCGGCCTCAAGCAGTTGTCCCTTGAGCTCTGCGATCACGCTCCCAGGTCTCCAAGACCAACACTAATCTGTCTTCCTTTTCAGGTCTCTCAAGAAACAACCTTCCACGGTGTGGGCAGCCGGGAAGTGACAACCGTCCTCATAACCGTAACAGCACACGAGACCAGATTGGTCAAAATCAAATCCATAAACCATAAGGCTAGGGTTAAGCCGTGGGTTTCAGTCGCATCCACGGAACTGATGGATGCTCGAAAACGCATCCCACTTTACTCTGAACATGATGAAGAGCGTAGTCAGCTTAGGCGCAGACTTATAAAAAGCCTGCGTAACGACCGGGAACAGTGGTGGATGTCGAAAGCAAAAGCGATGGAAATGGCAGCGGCGATAGGCAACAGTAGACAACTTTTCCGCCTTATTAAAGAAACCGGTATTAGGAACCCGAATGTGAGTGAGACTATCTCGGAAAAGGATGGTCTTCTTATTCATCCTCAATCCAGGAGACTGTACCGATGGGCAGAACACTTTAGGGATCAGTTCAACTGGCCTCGAGCCACACTTCGGTTGCCCACGATCCCCAGTCATCCTGAATGGCCAATCGATTTACGTCCTCCCAGTCTACATGAAGTTGAGAAAGCTATAGGAAATCTGAAGCGAAGTAGAGCAGCAGGTCCTGATAGGCTTAGCCCTGAGATGTTTAAGGATGGCGGTCCAGTTTTAACAGTTAGACTGACCGAGATCTTAGGTAGAATCTGGGAACTGGACGTAATTCCATCTGACTGGTCTCAGTCGCTAATTGTCCCAATTTATAAGAAAGGACAAAAGTCCTGTTGTGACAATCACAGGGGAATAAGTATAACTAATATAGTTTCTAAATTGTTAGCCTCGATTATACTTAGACGTCTAACTAGAGCTCGTGAAGAGCAGACTCGAGAAAACCAGTCTGGTTTTCGACCTGGACGTGGTTGTATAGACCACATCTTCACACTGAGACAGGTCCTGGAACACAGACACGCATTTAGGCGTCCTACAATAGTTGTCTTTCTGGACCTCAAGGCGGCATTTGACTCAGTGGATCGTGAGGTTCTGTGGCAGTGTCTGTCATTGAAAGGTAAACCAAAGAAGTACATTAACCTTATACAAGCTCTCTACTCGAACACCACTGGTCGAGTGAGAGCATATGGCGAACTGTCATCTGAATTCTCTACATCAAGCGGTGTCCGTCAGGGATGTCCACTCTCTCCATTCTTGTTTAACTTTGTCGTAGACATCCTCTTAGAGTTAACATTAAGTTCGTCAGATTTTTCAGGGGTTGACCTTCTACCAGGAAAGTCACTTACTGATCTAGAATATGCTGATGACATAGTTCTATTCGGTGAAGACTCTGACAAAATACAGAGTCTTCTGACTATCATAAGCAACAGTGCCAGCATGTTCGGCATGCGGTTCTCACCCTGGAAATGCAAAATGTTGCTTCAAGACTGGGTTTCATCGGCACCTGAACTAGTGATAGGGAGTGAAGTAGTCGAGCGTGTTGATCACTTCACTTATCTTGGGAGTCTCATCAGTGCTGATGGCCTGGTGACTGACGAAATCTCAGCGCGGATACAGAAAACTCGATTGGCTTTTGCCAAGCTGCGTCACTTATGGCGTAGGCGTGATATCCGTTCGCTAACCAAAGGACGGGTGTACTGCGCAGCAGTTCGCTCCGTTCTCCTATATGGATGTGAAACATGGCCGTTAAGAGTAGAAGATGTTCGTAGGTTACTAGTATTCGATCATAGATGTTTAAGAAGCATTGCTGGTATATCGTGGTGTAATGGCAGATTATTTATCAAGACCGGACACCGAAGCCGAACTTCCAGAGATAGCGTGTGCAGTTAACGGCCTAGAGTTAGATCCCCTAGAACTCGTCCGGCATCAGAAAGCCGACCCTAACCTTCGGGAGGTAATCAGAGTGATAAAAGAGGGAGAAGATGTTGACAAGAGTGGAACAGATAAAGAATTAACAGTGTTGCTGAGGCAGAAGGAGAGACTGAGAGTGAACGGATACGGAGCCTTGACCTGGCGGGATGATGACGAGAATTGGGTAGCAATAATCCCAAAAGATCTGCGCCAGGACATGATTCGTGAATGTCACCAGGTAGCGCACACAGGTATTGCACGGACAACTGATTTGCTGCGACAAAGTGCGTACTGGCCAGGTATGAGAGACGATGTTGCACGATATGTATTAGCGTGCCAGCGATGTCAACTAATGAAAGGGGATCGATGCATACGACCGCCATTGCAGTCAATTCCAGTAACAGCAGTTGGTGATTTGTGGTCAGTAGATATTATGGGACCGTTCCCACAGACGACAAGTGGTAACCAGTACCTGCTGGTGATGACTGAGCATGCCACACGATGGGTAAATGCCGTGCCGATGGCGGACCAACGTGCAAGGACGGTGACGGAAGCGGTAATGCGGCACATTGTGGCTGACCATGGGATACCAAAGATAATATTAACCGATCAAGGTCCCTGTTTCGAGAGTGATGAGTTCAAGTCCCGTCTAAAGCAGTTAGGTATCAAGAGAGTACGAACAACGCCGTATCATCCACAGACGAATGGGTTAACGGAAAGGAATAACCGAACGCTAAAGGAATGGCTAGCATCTAAAGGGGGTGATTGGGAGAAAGAATTACCATTAATCTTGCTGGCACATCGTGCCTCGGCACAGGTAACAACCAGGAAGTCACCGTTCCAGCTGATGTATGGCAGACGGCCGAGACTACCAACGCATGATAAAACCTGGCCACAACATGAGAGGTGGAATACAACAAGACTGAGAACAGAGCGGAGACAAGCAATCAGGAATGTGAGAGAGAAACAAACATCAGACATGCAGAAGTCAGAACAGGAGAGAAAGAACTGGAGACCGTTTGAAGTGGGAGACCAAGTGAAGTGTAGAGAACGGAAATGTACCACAGGAAGAGGGCCAGGGTCAGGCAAGCTGATCCCGAAGTGGGAGGGACCGTACGTAGTAACCGAGAGGCGCGGCGCAGTGTATACGATCCAGAAAGGAAACAAACAGAAACGCGTGAATGTCAGTGAACTCCAAAGGTGGTTCCAAGTGCGCCAAGAGGGCGAGCCACAAACACTGATAAAGAAGACGGCTGTACGGAGATCAGAAAGGCTGAGAGAGCGACTTGTTAAAGGGGGGACGAGTGTGGTGTGTGCTACTTATACGAACGATATAAGTAGTATAAGAATGGACGTGAAAGAAGAAGTCTTACGGTCAGAAGAGGAAAACGGAAAGCAAATAGAGCAAAAGCAAGAAAGAAATAGAGCACCGACAGGAAGTAAAGGAAGCAACAGCAGGAATGGAAGAAGGCTGGAGCGTTGGAAGTCAGGACTCAAAGATGGTGTGCAAATGGAGTGTTCAATGTAATGTTATCGTTTTTAATTGACTAAGAGTGTAAATTTGCTAAATACAATCTGTTAAGCCTGCCTCAGTCTTCTCAGTGGGACAACCGTATAAGCAATGCTATTGTTAGGAAACGAGTACTAGGTAAGGATAGCAGATCAATAGATGAAGTAGTGAAACTTCATCAGTTGAGGTGGTTGAGACATGTGTTACGAAGGCCTGACCACCGTCTGCCTCGACGAGTTATGTTTTGTGGTGTAGGAAGGAGTAGGTTGGAAGAAAGCTAGGGGCGGCCAGACCAAAACATGGCAGAAATCCATGAAGTCACTGACTAGTGGACTGAGTCATGTTGGTAGATGTAGACTACCTGGTTGGGGTCCGCGAGACGAAAGTCACCAATGGCTAGAGACCTTGAACGATATGGCTCAAAATCGTTTGCAATGGCGCAAGTGCATCCATTCTTTAAGCTCTCTCAAATTCTAATCTTCTGGATTCTTCAGCACCCTTACCTTTGTCTTTCTATCTAACCTTATCTCAATGAATTAAACTTCTTGAATATAAATATCTTCAAACCCTAGTCTTCTTCTTTACCATTAATACCTCTAATATCTCTATCACTATGGGATTTGATTTGACATTTGCGTCTCTGTGCTAATAATGTGGTATGGCAACATGAACTTATGTACATACGTACGAAGTTCTACGTTGCAACTGACTGACCTAACATCAAATTGTCTCAACAAGTTAGTTACTTGTTGTTGTTTTATTTAACCCCGTCAATTATGTGTATTAATCGCACAATCTATTTAGATGTGTATGTAAAATGCTTCACAAGGTAAAAATAAGAGTACAATTTGAGATATCACGTTGGCTGACAATATGCATTGAAACGGAAACTTGTTGAAATATTCAATGCTGAGAATTCCATATTGTACTAAACACGTTTGAATAAGCTGTTATTATTATTAGTAGTAGTATTAGTATTATAATTATTGTTAATAAGATGTTTTGTTTTTCAACAACTATTCACTATTTCACCAGAACGTATGACAGGAAGAATATAGCTTTGTTCTAGGTTTTTTCGTAAGCTTCATAACAATGTTCAGCAATTACCCTACCACAGACAGATTTTATAGTAAAAGATAAATTGGGACCAGAGGTGAAATGCATATTTCGCTCTGTTTGGCAGTTATCAACTCAATTTCGCGCATCCCAGTATTGATGTTCATATTGTGACTTGAACAACGTACCTTTCACTTCAGAGATGTAATGCAATATCCAGTTGACTGTTGGCTTATTCGACAAGTATGATACGTATATCACCATCAGGGAACGTTATTAGTATTACTTCACTGCTGAGATCATCTTCATAGGATACACATTTTTTAATAGAACAGTGAGAAGACGTAATTGATCTGAAAAATGTGATGTATTTTCGCTAAACATTTCGAACAATCTGGTCACACATATTTACTTGTCAAGGCATTTTATATGAAGCTTAATAAAAGGTCAATTAAATAAAGGTTCAAATAGACATAATGTGAGAATTGTAAATGCAGGAGAGAGAAAATTAACGTAACATGAAAAGAATAGGAAAGGATAGGAAAATTGTCACATTACCCTAGGCTCAAAGATTACCAGGGTAAATTCAAGTCTATGACAAATTGTTTCTGCACACATAAGGCGGCACTTAATTTTCGAATAGCCAAGGCCTCCATAAACCTCGAAATTCATCCTTCAACAGAGTATTGTTAAACAGAATGAAGGACTTCGTAGACGCCCAAATTCGAGATCAACAGGCTGGATTTCGTAAGCATCGATCGTGTACTGACCAAATTGCTACATTACGGATCATTGTGGAACAATCAATTGAATGGAACTCACCACTCTACATCAACTTCATCGACTACGAGAAAGCATTCGATAGCGTGGATAGGAAAACACTGTGGAGGCTTCTTCGACACTACGGTGTGCCTGAGAAGATAGTCAACATCATTCGGAATTCTTATGATGGATTCAACTGCAAAATCGTGCACGAAGGACAGCTGACAGACTCTTTTGAGGTGAAGACCGGTGTCAGGCAAGGTTGTTTACTCTCACCCTTCCTCTTTCTCCTGGTGATCGACTGGATTATGAAGACGTCAACATCTGGAGGGAAGCACGGTATCAACTGGACAGTTAGGACGCAGCTGGACGATCTGGACTTCGCAGATGACCTGGCTCTTCTATCGCACACGCAACAACACATGCAAGAGAAGACGACCAGTGTAGCAGCAGCCTCTGCAGCAGTAGGTCTCAACATACATAAAGGAAAAAGCAAAATTCTCCGATGCAACACAACATGCACCAACCAAATCACGCTTGATGGAGATACCTTGGAGGACGTTAACACCTTTACATATCTTGGCAGCATCATCGACGAGAAAGGTGGATCGGATGCAGATGTGAGGGCGCGGATTGGCAAAGCAAGGGCTGCATTTCTACAGTTGAAAAATATCTGGAACTCCAAACAACTTTCAAACAAAACCAAAATAAGGATTTTCAATACAAATGTCAAGACAGTTCTACTGTATGGAGCGGAAACATGGAGAACTACCAAAGCCATCATTCAGAAGATACAAGTGTTTATTAATAGTTGACCACTCAAAATACTTCGTATTCGTTGGCCAGACACCATCAGCAACAACGAACTGTGGGAGAGAACAAATCAGATTCCAGTGGAGGAGGAAATCAGGAAGAAGCGGTGGAAGTGGATAGGACATACACTACGAAAAGCACGTAACTGCGTCACGAGACAAGCCCTCACATGGAACCCTCAAGGCAAAAGGAAAAGAGGAAGGCCAAGGAACACACTACGCCGAGAAATAGAGAAAGATATGAGAGGAATGAACAAACATTGGACAGAACTGGAGAGGGAAGCCCAGGACAGAGTTGGTTGGAGAAAACTGGTGGGCGGCCTATGCTCCATTGGGGGTAACAGGTGTAAGTAAGTAAGTAAGTAAAGTTGATGTCAATCTTATGCCCTGTCCCGATTATGTGTTTTGCGATCGATGGACATGGTTTCCTATTTCCTACGTTAATCGGCTCATCTGACGTTGACTGATTTTGAAGCCACTTAGGTACATGTTCCATAACCGTTGGTTGCTTGATTGCAAAGTCCGATTACTCCCCCCTATGTATGTGTGGCCACACAAACATGTAAATGGATAATGCAACGGGATGTGATGTAGTCATTCGAGCAACGTTTAGGTCTATGTGAAATCATGGGCTTAGTCTTTTCAATGATAATCAGTCTAGCAGCGTTGTATGTTTTCTCCATGGCTGCTTTTAGTCCCTGCCTTAAGACTAGTCGATTTGCTTCACCTCTAAATGGTAAAGTGATATAAACATTTTTCTTCTTAGCAGAATGAAAAACTGGCTTTTGTCTTAACTGATTTCTACACCCATTGATGAACTTTAGCGGATAGCCGTTTGAAATCAATGCTTCAGTTAAGAATTTTGCATCATTTTCAAGTGTATACGTGGTGCAAGTCGTTTGAGCCCTATTGCAGAGGCATTTTACCAAACCTCGCTTATATTGCAGTGGACAAAATCTGCTGAAATTTAGATACTGTCCAGTCCTGGTTGGTTTTCTATAGACAGAACGCTTTATAGTTCCATTCTCCCTTCGACTCAACAGTATTTCCAAAACGGGGCAATCGGTTATTATTTTCTGGTTCATTGGTTAGTACAATGTCATTCTGAAGACTATTGAAGTTGTCCAGTAACTGAGAGGCGTTGAGTTTTTTTATATCATATAATTAAAATATCATCAATATATCTCACAACGCCATCAACTTACTGGAAATGTTCATCATCAAACGTGAAATGAACTTTCTCAGTGAATAATAAAATTAATTCTCTTAGTAGAGTTGGTCGAGTGGGAAAAAAAGGGAGATTACTTAATATACAGTCACAACGAAAGTTAACAGTTTTCATTAAGGGAACATTGGTTAAAAGGGGATTTTACATCAAAATAATGCATAGTCTTTTTTGTTTAATATTAATGTCATCGAGAACATCAATTAACTCAAATGTATCTTTCAGGGAAAACTTACACGAATTGAGCTAAGTAATTTAGCTAACCATTTGGCTATGTTTATGTGTAGGTGAGCCGCACACATTTTTAACAAATATTTGTGAGGCCACATTCAATCGTAGATATTAACCAGGGGATGATAATTGAAGTCATCAATATTATTAATGACAATAACGTTACACAGAATTGAAGCCAGAAGATTTGAATGATCACAGTGAAGACGATATACTGTCAACCAAGTATCTTTTAACGAAATCACTCAACAACAATCAATAGTCAATATGATGAGGATAGACTCATTTGATTGTGTCCAGAGAGAGATGAACATGAAACTTTTAAACTAGTTGATGGAATTCGGTCAGCACTCTTTCGTTCTTATTTGATTTGTACGAGTTTATGTACATATATATATATATCTTCACATATTCATATTTCATTCTGGTCAGGATGTTATTCGTAAGCACCTTACATGTAGTCCGTGTTTTCGACGAGTACCCAGACGCAAGGAAACCACAGAAAGTTGCTGTGATTTTTGGCGTATTAATCCTGAATTGCAAAAGCAATTACTCACTGATAGAATCACTCATAAATTCTTAGTTGCTTGGAAAAATCAAACGCTTCCTAAATTACCTGATTTGATAGACGTGATAGAACATAGTTCTCCTATAGTAAAAACATCATCAGAAATAAATACTTACCGAAGAAAACATAATGATGATCATGTTCTCATTGACAAGGGTCGGAATATCATGACGAATTCTTTAAAATGCAGGCGTATAGATAATCCTACAAATTTATCTCCACCAAATTTCACTGAACAAGAACAATGTGATTTACATGATCAGGAAACTCGTTCAATATTCAATGACAATTGCCACGGTACATCGACTTCACCAATTTCATCATTTGACCTAAATGATGGTGATGACAACAATGACAATAACAATGATATTTATAATCATGAAATATCTGAAGAAGAATTGTTAAAAACTAGTGGACTGGACCAAATTCTACCATTGAATGATCTTGATGACAATGAATTACTGGATCTACTAAATTTACCATTTCATAGTGTTAATTCATATTTAACTAACGATGGTTGATGGTCAAATAATCATAGTCTATCAATAATATTGATCAAGATAGTTAGTCTATCTGAGTCAGTGACTAATTTGACAAATTTGACAATAAATAAATCAGAAAGCAAAAAGAAGAGGATGACGGTGATGGTGGAACACAGAAGTAAAGAGGATAGTGAAGGTATATAACAGTATAATCATCGAGATTACTATGGATATCGAATCAAGCAGAAATGATCGAATCCCCATTATCATCTTAATCATCGTTGTTAATTCCTACAACATCTTCAATTGCATCCATAACAAATGTATGCTCCGAGACCAGTGAAATTGATGTTTTAAATGAAGATTACGATTTTTTTTAATGCTTTACAATTAACCATTTCAACAATTAAACATCACAATATGAATAGTTGGAATGATATTGAGGAACAAGAGAATATTGATAGTTGTAACGGTACTCAGTTACAACATACCAAATCAACGTTGGTCTAATCATGAAGTCAATTTAGATGATCTTGATTCTCCTCTTTCACAAGAAGTTGACAAAATTTACTGTTGTGAAAATGTATTTTCGAATGAAAAAACGGCTGATCATACGTGTATGTGTGTGTGTGTGTGTGTTTGTGTGTGATTTGTTCTTACAGTCACAGCTATTTGGTATTTCTGTCCACATATGTATGTATGTTTCAGATTACTTTCTCTTAAATATTAATGAACTATTTAAATAGAACTTCCTTGACCATTGTGATATGATTAGTTATCTTCCCTAATATCCATTTCGAATCAGTTATTTATTTGTACTGATGTTTTGGTTATTGATGGAATGCCACAAAGGTGAATGAAGTTTACGACAACCGACGAAGCATTCAATTACACATACTCACACAAACCCACTTGTATTTGCTCCTTGTAAAATACTTATTGCTTCACTGAATTATTTTCTAACGTTTTCACAAAACTTTACACAAACACATGTGTAGAAAGCATTTTTTTATCACAACATATATATATATATATATATATTTGAAAATGAACATCAATGAACTAAAGCACTGAGTTGCTGTTTCGGTTTCCTATGAGACTATCAGCACACTTTCATGATCCTATTGGGTATCGAACTCATCAACCATCAAGTCTCATGATGAGTGTTTAACTTTCAGCCAACTAAGTCCCCATTCAACGGTTTTGCCCTCGGTTACCTCAGTTAATCCGCAGTATCGCATCATCATTGCCTACTACAAATGTTGATGACCATCTGAAGTCCAACACAGTTAAATTACTTTGATCATGCCTCCTCAATTGAACTCCAGTTATCACCTCTAGAAGTGATTTGCTGAATAAGAACAAAATTACTTATTATAGGTGGTTGTTTAACAATGGTTTTATCGTTCAGTGATTTCCACAACACCCTATAATAGTATACAAATTAGGATCAAGAGAACAAATTGATTATGATGACTGTTATTATTGTTATTATTATTATTATTATTATTATTATTACTATTATTAATAAATGTTATTATTTAATATGCTATTTCAATCAGCTGCTTATTAATGGCGAGTATGAAATTGGAATGGTTCAATGGATTCACTTATCGTTATAGTTATTATTGCAAATAATGACATCTTATTCCTACTTGATTTTTGTTGATCATTAACCTATTTGACAATAAACGTACTTGCTACTACTCTGTCAAACAAACAAATCATTTCTTACAAACGAAATTTCTAACAACAATTCAAATTTTTAGATGTGATGCAAATGCCGATTGTATCAGCTTTCTAAGATCGAAGATATTAATTATCTCATTGATGTAGAAAGCCGATCAGAAGTAGAGCTTCAGCACACCACTGTCCAGTTATAAATAAGGGGTAGCGAAAGAGCGACTAGGTCCAGACACCGACTGTTGTTGCTGGTCATCAGGCAACAGATTTCGACTTATGAAACCTTAGCCACTTGTTTGATCGAAGTTGAAAAGATAGTAAGTATTCAAACTTTGACCCCAATGACCGGGGACGCTAACGATAAGCCAGCTTTATCGCCGAATAATTTGCTGTTATCGAGGAAATATGACGGAGTAGACGGACGGGGTATCATTGCAGATAAGTACGTCAAACACTGGGAACCGGTTAATTATCTGGTCAACGTGTTTTGGAAATGGTGTTTAAGAGATTATTTACCGTCTCCACAGTCACCCCAAAAAAGTTAGTTGAACGTTGCAATTTAAAGGAAGGCGATGTAGTAATTGTAACTTCAGACATTTCAGTTGACGGAAACTGGCCTTTCGAAGTGGTAGAAAGTTGTGAGATAGACAACTACGGAAAGGTGAGGAAGGCAACAACTCGCACGAGCAATGGAGTAGTTGGACGAGATACACGTAAGGTAAGTCTCCTGGATGGTTCTGAGTAGTTTGCCAGTAAGTAGGACCGGTAGGCGTACTGCTGTAAGTCCTACCTGCTCCCTTAGTATTTATAATATAGTAAATGGAACCATGAGTGAAGGTAACAAAGTGGTCTTGTGATACACGGAGGGGTTGTATGAGTCGGTGAAGATCGTTTATGAAAGTTTTGTGTGTGAGAATTACTCCAAGTGTATACTTTTCTGTTGTAGTTTGTTTGGGATACTACTCCTAACTCAGGTCTTACAAGGTCTGAAAAATAAATAATAATTATTACTTCCATCCTATCCACTCCCAGCGCTTCTTCTTGATCTCCTCCTCTGCTGGGATCTCTTTTGATCTCTCCGACGGCATGTCCCGTCTGGTGGTGTCTGGCTAACGGATAAGGAGTATTTTGCGTAGACGACTGTTAATGAATACTTTTATCTTCTGGATGATGGCGTTCTTAGTTCGCCAAGTTTCGATTCCATACAGTGGTATTGTCTTGACAATTGTATTGGAAGTTCTGACTTAATTATAGAAATGCAGTCGTTGGTTTGCCGATCCACGCCCTCCCATCTACATCACATCCACCTTGCTCACCAATTATGCTGCCCAAATATGTAAAGGTTTTTACATCTTCCAACGCTTCTCCGTTAAGTGTGATTTGGTTGGTGCATGTTGTGTTGTATGGGAGGATCCTGATTTTTCACAAGTGTATGTTGAGACTTATTTGTGCAGACACTGCTGCTATATTGGTCGTTTTCTCCTGAATTTGTTGTTGAGTGTGGGATAGAAGGGCTTGATCATCTGCGAAGCTTAGATCATCCAGCTGCATCCTCGCTGTCCACTGTATTCTGTGCCTCCCTCCAGATGTCAACGTCTTCATAATCCAGTCGATCAGTAGAAAGGGTGAGAGTAAGCAACCTGGCCTGACACCGGTCTTCACCTCAAAAGAGTCTGTTAGCTGTCCTCCTTGCACGATTTCGCAGTTTAATCCATCGTAGTAATTCTGCACGATGTTGACTATCTTGTTAGGGAGGCTGTAGTGTCGAAGAAGCCTCCACAGTGTTTTCCTGTCCACGCTATCGAATGCTTTCTCATAGTCAATGGAGTTGATGTATAGTGGTGAGTTCCATTCAATTGATTGTTCCACAATGATCTGCAATGTTACAGTTTGGTCAGTACACGATCGATCCTTACGAAATCCAACCTATTGATCTCGAAGTTGGGTGTCTACGGAGTCCTTCCTTCCGTTTAACAATACACTGTTGAGGACTTAGCCTGGTATAGAGGGAAGAATGATGCCTCTGTAGTTCTCAAACTTACTGAGATTGCCTTTCTTTGATATTTTGATGAGGTTTCCTTCTTTCCAATATGTTGTTACTCGTTCTTCATCCCAAATCTTGTTGAAGAGAATTTGGAATGTTTTTGCAGTTGCTGCCACGTCTACTTTCATTGCTTCTGCTGGAATGTTGTCTGGTCCCGCATTTTCGCTGCGTTTGTATGAGGATATTGGGCCTCCGATGATCAGCTTGTTGAAGGCACAGAGATTTGCAAATATCTCACCATTTTCGTTCCTTTCTCCCAGTCTATGTCATCCCATGATATCTTCATATCCAGTGTTGTCCATGCCAACTTTTGAATTTAGGCATCCTATCAAATTTGTCAAATCCTTTGATGAGCATCTCTCGATGATTGACTGAAGCTACTCGTAGAATTGATCTGTAACGTCGTCATTGTAGTCGTTGGTAGGTGCATAGTATTGGATGACGTTTATTGTAACGTCCTCTTTCTTTATTTTGAAGGATGCTTCAACGATGCTGGGTCCATGAAATTCCCATCCTACTAGTGCCTTTTGTGCTTGTTTGGGCAGCCTCAGTGCAACTCGATGTGTGTGAGGCATTCACTTGTTCATGGCCGAAGTATGACAGCATCGCTCCTGAAACCTGTCTTAGTTGCCCAACATACGTCCAGCGAGTTCCGCTGATTTCAAGTACCACTAGCTCGTATCTTTTCATTTCTGAAGCGATTTAGAACAGTCTTCCAATCTCCCACAATCACATGTACCTATTAGAATGGTTGCTTTGGTTGTGAGAAGGGGCATCGGCCTCGTGATTTCCGACGGAACTCGTCTTTCATCATGAAACATAATAATTCTTCTGAACAAGGGCCTTCTAACTTCCAGGGCAGATTTAGAATGGTCTGAATTATTTTTTTCAGTCAGTGCACTCTTAGCCAGTTAGATTTTTACGGGATGGGATGGCAAACGCAGTGCCTAACCCTTCTCCTTTATCCGTAACTGAGACATGCAATAGCCCCAAAGCGGCTGCCTGCGGGGTTATACGATCTATATACCATAAGCAGTAGTTCTATATGAAGCTTCGGCAAGTTTTGCTAATAGTCCATAGACAAATTTTGTTTGCATGAAAAGATTTACTTAATAGAGTTCTCGGACTTTGGTATTCAGCATGACATTTCTATATAAATGTAAATAATCTTTTAGTTGAATAAAATTATTTACTACTTTGTACTCTTTTTGAGCTTCCTTATTATACATAAATCTCTGTCCGTTACAGGGAGCTTTCAGTAACCAATATTGATAGCTCGTAGGACGAGATCTACAAAAGTCTAGACACTACA